AGGAAAGAGAAGTTATAGGAAGACAGTGTAGTCGGAAAGTGACGAGACAAGAAACAGTGGAAGCTCTGGAGTCAAAAAGTGATAAGGTGGGGATTAAGACATAATTCATCTAGATGATAGGATAAGGAATAACTATAGTCTTACGAATAAAATATGATATGCGTCTAAATTATCCATTATATTCTCACTGGTAGGAACTTGGGACCGCGACCTGTATGGGCCACCATAAAAACCTGTCACGCCCCACTTCCCAAAATATCAGGGAATCGGAACGTGAACAAGCCCGCGACGTATTAAATTGAGGAGAATAAATAAAAAAATCATTTCTTCTCAACCTAATATGCTAAGCGTCAAGCAATATACAATGCGAAGTCATAGGTCCCAATCAAAATTAGCAAGAATATAATGAACAACTCAGAATAAAAAAGGTCATATCACAAATGAGATAACATCTGAGATACAAAGTTTGGATCAAACATGCCCTTATTACAAAACTATCCAACTGAATGATGACGAGATATAGAATACATTGGTCAAAAAAAATAGAAAGAACTACAAAAGTAAACTAGGACCATCAACTAATAAATGAAAAACTAGGCTTCGACTTCTTCTTCTGCTCTGTCTATAAAACACTCCTGCTAAGAATACTCGGGCTCTGGAGTATCTCTAAGATGGACATGTCCTTCCTCTAAGTCTGACGTACACCAGAGAAAACAGGTATACGTCAGCATGCATGGTACACGGCAAGACCCCTCAAAAGAAAATAGAACGGTCGAATAACCAATGCAATAACCGATGTAACAACAGAAATGACAAAAAATACGTGCAATTGGAAATCTAACAAAATCAAAATGCAATCCACTACTAAATCATGATAATCATAAAGCCAACAACATGCAATAATAGGTATGAGTACTAGCCATCCTAAAATAGATCACAGGTCCATATCTCACATAGAGTTAACATTCATATTCTCAGATAAATGACTGTTCACAAATCCTCTATGTGCATCCAAACCCGCAAAATGGTTCGGTGAGAAGACTACACATAATCCGATTCCGGCCTGTTCGAACACAAGCAAGACTCGGGTGACGAAACGATTTTCACTGACCAAGTGCGAAATGATTCACTGGTCCAACAAACCAACCCCCGTGCGAAACGATTCACTGGTGCGAGTCTGAAAGTTATATCAACAATCATATCCGATCACATGAACCAAGACTTTCACATCCTAAGATCTCTTGTATTTCCAAGTCAACAAACATCTGTCTCTAGATCTGATTCATGTCACACAAGTCACTATAGTCATGGACTTCTCATGTTTCTCAAGCACAACAAGGAATGTAAGTAACTCTATACAACAACATCATGAACCATGAACAGTGCAAGAAGAACTATAGTGAGCATGTATGATACGCATAAAATATCGTAATCCATAATTATGACTAATTAACTCATGATTAAATCTCCTCAAATATAAACTTATAAACACGAGACAGGACGAAGGGATCTTGCTACTATTATTTCTATTGTCGTAACAGATCTAAAATTTTAATGAATAAAATCAACTTGAGAAGAAGGATCTTGCTACTATTATTTCTATAGTTGTAACAGATCTAAAATTTTAATGAATAAAATCAACTTGAGAAGAGGGATCTTGCCTCGGGGTTTTCGTCGAATGGTTCGACGTTGCTGCGCGAGTCCGTGGGTGAGGCAGCGGCGAGCGGTTGAGATGGGGAGGTGCTGGAGGTGGAGATGGGGAACTGTGGGGAGCTCTCAGGGCAGCAGCGAGTAGGGAGGATGTGCGGCGACCTCGGAGTGGTGGATCTAGAGGAGATCCAGGGGAGGGGTTGGTCGACTTGAGGCTAGCGGAGGAGGAGCGGCTGAGGGGTGGCTGAGCTTGGTGGCGACGGGCTGAGGGGAGGAGGTCCTGGTCGACGACGAAGTGGGGAGGAGGCGGTTCGGGCTGAGGGCAGATGAAGGTCTGAAGGGTAGAGGTGGTGAATGCGCGGCAAAGGAGCGACGACGTGCAATTGGGTGCTGGAGACGTTGGCCGTGGGCGAGAGTGGTGGCGTGATGGGATGAGGTGGACGGGTGCGGTGGCTATGGTGGAGCAGCGGAAGGGCGGCGGTCAGGCTAGGCTGAGGCAAAGCTCTAGAGGTGGTGACGGAAATCTGGGGTGGGGACGCTGCATGCTGGGTTGCAGGAGAATAGATGAAAGAGGGAAGAGGAGAGATGAGAGAGCAGAGAGAGAGAGAGAGAGAGAGTATGAGAGAGGAGGAGAGAGAGAGAGGACTATATATATACTTAGGGTTTAGGGTTTATAAATTAAACCTAATTAAGAAATAAATTAAGGAAAAATAGAATAATTACGGAAAATATTTATAATTAATACGTAACAATAATTATAACATAACAAATATAAATTTAAAAGTTTTCAATGTATTAAGTTAATTCATAATTATCAAAATCATTTAGATAAATATAAAATTAAATTTTTAAATCGTAGAAAATTCTAGAAAATTAGGAAAACACAAATACTCTTTTGAAAATAATAATTGAATATTTTAAAAAATCAGAAAAAGTATTTTAAATAGTATCGAAAATTCATGGTCATTACATTCTCCCCCCCCCCTAAAATAAATTCCATCCTCGGAATTAAAAGAACCCAAGGAAAGTGTAATACCCCAACCCTTGAGAGAGTGATGTGATTAGTATTGATAGATTTGATTGGAATACTCATACCACCAAGATGCATCTTCTTTTCGGGAACCTAACTCTTAGAAACTCCAAAGTTAAGCGTGCTTGGTCTGGAGAAATTCTAGGATGGGTGACCCCCTGGGAAGTTTTCCAGGGAGCGCGTGAGTGAGGACAAAACGTGCTGAAAAGACATGTGGTGGTTTGTGAGGTCAGTCCATCAGATCTAATAGCATACCGACTCCGGGATTCCGGGGCGGGGCGTTACAAATGGTATCAGAGCAAAACCAACCGGAATTGTGAGAGCTAAGTGCTATGAGGCGCAAAGTGCTACGTCGAGAGGGTGGGAGCCACCTCTTGAGGCCGTAGGAGCCACCTCTAGAATCTCACACGGATGGTACGGTCTTGGATGATATGATTTGGCACAACGAGGACGTTGTGAGTTTAAGTGGGGGAGTATGTAATACCCCAACCCTTGAGAGAGTGATGTGATTAGTATTGATAGATTTGATTGGATTACTCATACCACCAAGATGCATCTTCTTTTCGGGAACCTAACTCTTAGAAACTCCAAAGTTAAGCGTGTTTGGTCTGGAGAAATTCTAGGATGGGTGACCCCCTGGGAAGTTTTCCAGGGAGCGCGTGAGTGAGGACAAAACGTGCTGAAAAGACATGTGGTGGTTTATGAGGTCAGTCCATCAGATCTAATAGCGTACCGACTCCGGGATTCCGGGACGGGGCGTTACAGAAAGATATGAAATGATATCCAAAAGCATAGGATAATGTAAAACAATAACGACACAAAATATAAGATGTGACAGCTGAGATTCAGTATACAAAAGGTAGCCAAAAACAATACTACAAAACATACTCTACACACAAAATTAATTACAACAAAACGGAACCAATACTAATAATTAAACTAATTCACCAAAAGTAAA